CATGGCAACGAGAAAAACAAGAATAAATTAGTGGAATGAAAAGCGTTCGTTGATCCCTGTGGGATTTAGACTGCCGGTTTGAAAGATGAGCTTTTGTTCAAGATTTTTACGGCTTTCCGTGCCACCTAAGTGCAAGGAAAGACCGCAGATTGCCATATGTTGCTTAGAATGATTAGGTAAATTAAAATGTCTAGCGACTGGTTTCGATGTGTCCTTGTCATTCCTTTCCACGTCTCGAAGGTGTTCTCGGAATCGGTCACCTAGTCTTCTGCCTGTTTCGCCGATGTATATCTTTTTGCAATAAGTGCAAGTTATGCAATAGATTACATTGGCGGAGGTGCACGTGAAGTGATCGGTGATCTTAATGGATCGTTTAGGTCCCGATATTTTATCAGTGTTGTGAATGAAAGGACACGTTTTGCATCGTGCACGAGCGCATTTAAAAGTGCCTGGTTGGTCATTAGTCTGAAAAGAACTTCTGACCAAAAAATTGCCTATGTTTTTGTCGCGTTTAAATGAAATGAGCGGAGGCTGCGAAAGCACTATCTATCTATCCGACGCAGCCCCAAACAGTTTCTTTCGAAACTATCAGCCTTTATTCATATGTTTCGTTGGTCGGAAACGCACCTGTTACTTTAGCAGAAGATAAATTGTTTCGTAGTCTATGTGACAAGTTAAGATAACCGATATATCTTATGCATGCAAAAAGCGAAAGTAACCAGCGCTGAAGGCATCGAGTTTGGCCTCAGGCTAATGAGGAAGAAAATTAAAAGACGTCAAGAACCAACTGCGTCAACGAAAGTTAGCTGAGTTTCATCACTGTTTAAATTGGATACCTAATTTGGAGTGACTGTAAAAGACCATTAGACCCTTCCATTTAAGTGATAAAGATGTTGTGCACGGGTGTAATCTTTCTTAAAAGCTTCTTACAGCAGTAATAGAGATATTTTTAGCTTGGTTCTATGATGTTTATCACGGAAGGGCTTGCTCAAACGCGATTCTACAGTAAAAATTGTATCAAATTATATACCAAACGGAACCTCGCAGGTGTCCGCTTAATACACATTCTGGTATATAATGAAATGAGAAGCCATTTTGTCAGTCTGTCATTACCTCCTACTACTTCAACTTTGCTTTTTTTGGCTTACTTTCTCCTTAAAAAAAAAACTCCGTTACAGCGGGTTACTATAACAAGCTGAGCATGCCTTGGATAGCTCGCAAAGTATTTCATCGAGAGGTCTGTATTACGCTCTATGACTCCATGATACTTCCGATGTTCGACTATTGCTGTGTAGTATGGGATGGCTGTGGTAAAACAAACAAGGAACTGCCTGGACAAGTCACAAACGCGAGCGAGCAGCTTGTGTTATTGAAAACTTAAAATAGAAAATACAGTACTTTTAGCTGGCCCTCNACGATCCTTCGCAGTAAAGCACTATTTGAGCAATAGTGAAAATCAGACCTGAAAAAAATTTCAGGCCTGTACGGGATTCGAACCACTGACCTCTGCGATACTAGTGCAGCGCTCTACCAATTGAGCTAACAAGCCAACTGGGAGCAGGCCATCAAATTAATTCGAGATAAACCCGTAGATGATAAATCAAACAACAGTGGGTTCAACAGTGGGTTCAAACAACAGTGGGTTCAACAGCGGTTCAGTGGTTCGAATCCCGTACAGGCCTGGATTTTTTTCAGGTCTGATTTTCACTATTGCTTAATAGTGCTTTACTGCGAAGGATCGTGCACATATACATATGTTATAAATGACAAGAGAACAACTTGACAACAATTAAACAAAAACGGACATAGCAAAACGAAACGAAGATGAACTGTCACTACACGCCCACCCAGATATAGCACAATATGTTCCCCTCCAGTTACCCTGTAACCATGCAATGAAGAGATCATACAACTAGCTTACTAAAATAATGTAAACATTAAGCCGATCAGCGAGAAAGAAATTAAAAGGCAGAATTTTCTGATATTACCACAAACAGTACATATTACTAGAATTATTTTTCCCTTTTCCTCGAGTCTTTTAATTTTTCTCTAACCCTCACGGTCTCCATACTAGTGAAAATGTTTTTGGCTCTTGGAAAGTATCTGGGGCAAAAGGAAAAAGCACACTAATCAATGACTGCAAAATCTGTTTATCGTCCAGTCCCTCGCTTGATCTTCCGATCCGACTGCCAGTCAGTCAAGCGACCCAGGCACCTTGATCTAGGCAGCCATAGTATAAATCAATTAGTCTATAGCCCTGTTTACTGGTTAGGCGGACAGTCGGCCAGACAGTCAGGCAGATAGTAAGCTCGTCTTTCAGTCAGCTAATAGTCATACTTCACCTTGTCAGTTTAATCTGATGGTTTACCGTCTTACTGGCTAGATAGCCAGTTAGCCAGTCCGTGAGCCGGTCAGTCAATTAACAAGGAACGAACGACAGCACTCCTCAGTGTAGCCGAGCCTATAAGCCACCTGGCATTTTTTTTATTATACTTTTTTAAATCGTACATCAGCAATGAATGGGATGCCTGAATAAATTCGAGTGACTTTGAAAAAAGACAAGTAGCATATTATAGCTATAACCGATTAAAATTCCTTTTTTATCTACAAACATAGCTTCAATTATTGCAGTTGCAGTGGAATGTCGAGTTTATAATTGGTTTGAGTTAACCTCTTTAATTTTTAAGAGCTTTTTTTTCCGCTCACCTTCAGTCAATGGTTTTTAGTATTAAAGCAAACGTAATAAGCATTTAATTTACCTTGGTTCGAAAATAGAGAACTAAAGCCCGGTATCAGACAGTGTGCGCACTCTGATTGCGTTACATCATGGTCGTAAAACAAAAATTGAGTCATTTGCATCTTGACGCGTTGGAGTGAACATCTCTGGTGGCAGGGAGATACGGCGTGAATATACGTGGACTGTAATGGGGATTCACTGTCTGTTGCCATTCTTTCGAAAGTTAAAACGTTTGACGGGCCTGCACGACTCCTGTCATTCATCCGTGACGGTTTCGTTCTTAGGAGGCAACTGACGTTATTTAAAAAGATTCGAAACTGCAATCTGCCTACTGAAGAATCTCGACACAAATGGCAACAGTTAAACTCACAACCGATGACGGGATGAA